AAACCTTTTTTTTTTTGTTAATTGAGTAACATACACTATTAATATTTTCAGTCACTTTTTTTTCAATTAATTAAACGACATATTAATTTGATGTCAACCACCAAATTGGCCCTTAGCTAGTCCAACACATTCATGAATATGTAACATATTTATACTATTTATAAACACACAAATTTATATGTATAACATGTATGTTAAATCCAAAAACTAAATCTTCGTTTGTACGTTTGAATATATTGTGATATGTAATACATATAACAATAAAAAAAGGTTATCATATATTAGATCTATATGTGAACCACACTTAACAATAACAACTATCAAACTTTTTGGAATGCAATATATTGTAATAATTCTGTTTTCTACAGAACCTCGTCCCAATTAGTATTATTTCAACTGTTGTGCTACAAATTCATAAAATAATGGATGCGCTTCGCAAGACGAACGAGTATACTGTATACATGTATAATATATCTTATTTACTCACATTATGAAATAGTACAAATCATAGTATATTTATATTGCTAATATTTTTTGTTGTACATGTACGTTCCCAAGATTTTGCCACGAACGGATCGTTAATGCTTTTGCTTATTTAAAGGAGGATATCTGATCGGTAATTGTACTTTGAGTCCCTTTTGTGGGGAGGCAAAAGAAAACATTATCTTTACCTATAAGTTAGTATATAATTAATTGTTAACAGGAAAAAATTACAAGGATATAATTAATGATATTTTGAAATGCTCGGTTTATTAGCTAGTGCCTAGTGGATACATTTGTCCATTTTACGGTACACTACACACTAAGCTCTTCGTCATACCCAACTAAGTTTTGATCCTTAGTACCAAAGTCTCTCATGTAACGTCAAAATCTTCAAACATTTACTTGAAAATTTACTTTATGAAAAGGTCCATAGTTAGTGCATATTCTTTTGTTAATTTGGATACTATTTGTTATCAAATGCGTGGATTTCACTATTTTTACCAAATATATATATATATGATGTGAATGTGATATCTCATTAAGAGGGACCTTTTTTTTTTACACTTTCATGACATTTGGAGTTTATGTGCCCACTTTCTAATTTCAGAAGT